GGTTTAGGGCTGGGAAGGTGGAGGGGCCCTGCCCATGAGAGGAGGCAGCAAAAGCGAAAGATTTCATTTCCTTTCATGAGAAAGGGGGTTGTCTCCTAAAGAAAAGCAGGACAGGGTATTTGGGTATGCAGCAGGAAGGATTAAGGCCAGACGTGGAGAGGGACTTTCCCCTGAGAGAAGACATTAGGGCGGAGGTGGAAACTTGGAGCCCAGGTGTGGGTCTGGGCACAGGTCCTGTGCTCCCTGGGTGGCAGGGAGGGAGACTGAACACCTTAGAGGGTCTCCAGAGACCAGAGCCTCTTCTCCAAGTGCTGTTGGCAGTGGGTGCAGGGCCCAGGGAGAGAGGACCATCTGGGACTCAGCAGAAGGAGTAACGGGGGTGGTGAGCCAAGAGTGCTTGTGAAACAGAATTCTGTTTCTGCTTGCTAAATTATGGGGATGGAAAAGCAGGTGAAAGGCCTGCAAGAAGAGGATGCTGGTGAATGGAGAGGGAAACTCCTTGGTGGGGTGGCTTGCTTACAGATGGCCTGGGTTTCCACTTTCACTATTGGCAGAATATGAAATAATCTGCTGTAACTGAAGGGATGGGGTTAGACTATGTGAAGAACTTACTAGTTTGATGTAGGACCAGGATGTCAATCAATACTAGAGAGTAAAGGAGACAGAATATTCATAGGATCTGTGGGCGCTATGCCAGGTCTGGGGGCCACTGGATAGATAGAGAAGAGGTGCCAGGACACTGGGGAGAGGAGGGCTGGACATTCTGGGGGGAGGAGGGGAGGGGGGAAGAGAAGGACTGGGGTGGGGAGGACAAGGGACAGGGAATTCTAAGGGAAGGTCCCAGCAGGGACCAGGGCTAAAGATGTGTTCCTTTTGCTTTAAAATGAACAACTGGAAAGTCCCATGCAATCCATGCCTGCTTCTCTGGGGACCCCATGGTCAGCCTCTCCTGTAAAGGGTCAGCCTTAACCCTCAGTTTCCTCTTCTCCCAGGCAGCCCTTTTTTGGCCTGGATTTCACATGGTCCCTTCCCATGTTACCTCCCAAAATAACCTCCTCTGTACGCCCCCCCCGCCCACCAGCCATATCACTTCACACATGCCAGGCCCAGCTCGGTTTTCTCACGGCAGTGCTGGGGATATAGGGGCCCAGAGGGCCAGCCAGACCTCCATTTGCCGTAACTAGCTCTGTTTTGCAGTCATTTGGATTCCAGGACCCCCTACACCCAGTCTGCATTTGCAGGGTTCCCTTGCTCTCTCTTTGATGTAGCAGGACTGGCCTAGGAAACTGCTGATTGGAGTCTTTAGCCCCTCTTCTGGTCAATTGCTACCCACTCCCTAGAAGTGACAGCAGAGGGAGGGGGTGTGAGGCAAGAAGCCAAGAGAAAGATGGAATGGGAGATACAGGTGCTCGCTCTGACTTCCTTTGCACTCACGCACCTCCTAAGCACACATGCACAGAGCAGGGTCCAAAGTATCCTATATAATAAAAGTGTAATATGCAAATCAACCAAAAGGTGGAACGTCCTGTCTGTGGGTGGACAGGGCCCATGAGCAGGTGGTGCCAGCGGTCAGAGGTAGGGGATGGCACTTTCAGCTAATCCTTTTACCTCAGCAGCGGTGGCGGAAGGGCGATGGGGGCTGGGGGCTTGGGCCGGCCGGTGCTGTCCCCAGATCACCCACTGGTAGCCTCCCACAGAGGGAGGCCAGACTGCTGCTTAGGCCAGTTCCCCACAGGGAGGGGGCCTAAGCCATCAGTCAGACATCCCCTGAGTACTCCTGGACTGCAAGAGGGCACAGGCTGGGCTGAGGGCCCTCCCCAGCCCCCCACTGCTGAGTGCACGAATTTTCATGCACCAGGCCTCTAGTCCTTTAATAAATAACTTGTCTATTCCCTACTCCTTCCATCAGGACCCTGGAACTTGAATTCCCACACCCTTATCTCTGGGGCCTCGATTTCCTCATTTGTGTAATGGGCAGAAGAGTCCCTACCTGTTAGGGTTGAGTATCCTATGAGGTAAGGTATCTGGCACATGGAGCCCTCAATAAATTAATAGCTGCTGTTTTTCTGGTCTCGTTATCTCCTAGAAGGGCAGCGGAGTTAGGAGAGAGACCTTGCCAGGCTCTCATAAGACCTTCCACTCCCGCCTCAGTCATCCAGTTTGCCTAGGCCTCTTTCAGAGTCCCTTCTTTTTTTTTTTTTTTTTTAAATATATTTCATTGATTTTCCACAGAGAGGAAGGGAGAGAGACAGAGAGCCAGAAACATCGATGAGAGAGAAACATCGATCAGCTGCCTCCTGCACATCTCCCACTGGGGATGTGCCCACAACCAAGGCACATGCCCCTGACCGGAACCGAACCTGGGACCCCCCAGTCCGCAGGCCGACGCTCTATCCACTGAGCCACACCGGTTTCGGCCAGAGTCCCTTCTTCCTCTCACATTCGGCCTGGCCATGGAAATTCCTCCCAAAGTCTCATAACATTCTTCATGTTGCTTTCTCAAGCTCCAGAGTCTCAAGCTCTCTTCTCCAAAAGCTGTAGGTCAAGAGAGGGGCCCAGAGAGCTCAGGCTTTGGAGAGATGGCTGATGGAGGACTGCGTGGAAAGAGGGGTCCCAGGAGCAGCTGGTGCTGGGGTGGAAGCGGAGGAGGAGAGAGCAGGGAGAGGGAAGAGAGACAGCTCTTGGTACTAGCTTCTGGAGGAGGCTGGGGGTGGGTGGTAAAGCGTTTATGGGTAGCGGGGAGATGGCATGTGACTGGCTTGCAACCTTTGGTGCTGGGGTCTCCACGTGAGCTGCCATGGGTCTGTCTGTGAAGGTGTGAGTATGTCGTTTTGACTTTTTTATGCTAAGAGCTGAGTGAGTGTCTGTTGGGCTTGTGGGTGGAAAAGGTGTGGGTTGCTCACCCACAGGGCCGGGGAGTTGCAGAGCACACCATGCCTGCTCCTGGAGCCTTTCCTGGAATGAGTAAGAGTTGGAGCCCGCCTTTCCCAGCCCCTTCCCCCAGCTTGCACGGGCCTGTGCAAGGTGTGCTTGCGTGTGCAAGCGTTGACGTCCCCGCTGCAGCCACAGCCCCTGCCGGGGGAGCAGTAGCTGTTCTGTATGGTACACTTCTGGATCCATGAAATATTCAAGGTTACAGGGATGTGACTCAGTGGTGCAGTCACTTAACAGCTCCCACCTGCCCCGACCCTCGGAGCCGGACCCTGGGTTAATAGGCTGCTCCTGTTGCTCTCAGCACTTTCTGCTTTTATTTATCTATCCTCCCCACCCCCGCAGCCTTCTCATGCATTATCACTAATCCTCACAACCCACCAGGAAGGAGGGCAGGTAGTATGATCTTTATTTTGCTTTTCAAGGGCAGAGTCCTGGAGAAAGGTCATACTGGATGGGCCGTCTGGATTGGTATTTGGGAGGTCAGAGTTCAATTTCTCCAACTGTCCGGGCCACTCTGGGGTGGTCACTCCCTCCCATCCCCAACACACACACACACACACACACACACACACACACACACACACACTGGTCTCAGTTTCCTCTCCTGTAAAAAGTGGGAGCCAGAGGACTGCACAGGTTTCTTCCTGTTCTAATAATTTGCATTCTGAGTGGGGAGCTCCAGTCTCATAGGTAGGAAGTCTCAGAACCAGGATGAGACCCCAGGAGTCTGGGCCCTCACCTCCACCTTTGCATTTCTGCCGGCCTGGCTCAGGGGCAGGGGTGCGTTCCTGCGTGTTGAATACAAGATGCACACACTTTCCACCTGCACAGCTCCGAGGAGGGGAGGCTACCGACGGGTTTCATCCACCCAAAGGAGCAGGAGCCCGTCCAAGCAGTCCCCCTGGGGACCGTATGCTCATGCCAATTTGCTGCTGTTTCTCCAGCATTTCTGGAAACTCTTGGAATCATCTCAGAGCCGGTGGCATATGCTGTGAGTCCTCATGGGGAGCACATGTCTGTCCTTTGGGTGGCTTGGCTCTTCTGGAAACGAGTGAGAGTCTTTCGGGGCCATGTCGTGAAGGCAGGAGGCCAGGTGGGAGCGGAACCTGATCTGAAGCAGGGGTGTGGGCACCCTGCAGGGATGCTCCGTGTCCCCGGGGACCCCAAGGCCCACCTAGAAGGCCTCTGTGCCAAAGTGTCCAGAGCTTCTTGTGGGCCCCAGCAGCACCATTAGCCTAGATGTGTGGCCTCTCAGGGGCTGGCTTGGAAGGCCCAGCCTCCTCTGACTGTCCTAGTAAGTCCTGGTTTGCCTGATAAGAAGCCCATCGTGGAATCCTGCCAGGCTTGGGATGCACCCTCCTGCAGCTGGCACTCTCGGGAATGGGTCCAGCGCTGGTGATTCAAACAGAGGAGATGCTCATTTCCAAAGTGCTTTGCCTCTTTTTTGAACCACAAGAAAGAGACTTAAAAATCAGCCAATCCAACCAGCTTGAGAGGGGAAACTGAGGCCAAGAGGGAGAAAGCAGCTCTCCCAAGGACTAGAACCCATGTTAACACTTTCCCACCAGATTTGGTGGCTATGGCCGGGCAGTGGCTGAACTGAAGCAGGGGCATGGACCAGAGGACCTCATGAGATGCATTTTTAACCCTATGACCATCACCAGTCTAGCAGACCACTCCCCAGCTGGCCTCTAGCTAGTCCCTTCCA